GACGCCATCACTGGTAAGAGCGACTGATTGACAAACATGCCAAACCACAGTCATTTTGCTGTTGTAGAAGGGTAATTCTGGTTTATTCAATAAAACATGTTTAAAATAACATTTGGTGCAATGTTATGTGCATATGCAGACAATGTGTTATTTTACTTTTGCTTCTCTTTTCATGTATCTACTGTTTTAATGCTCACTTCTCATGTTATAGAGACTCTTTTCTAGTACTTTACTATCCCCTTTAGTTTTAGCCACTCTAAATAATTTGGTGTCATCTCCAAATCAGCAAGGCTTCTGTGGATTGATATGGTGAATCATCACGGCTGGACTGGGAGTGCTAGCAGAAGAGGCTGTGGTGTGCTGACCTTGGGTAGCAGCAAGCTGAATTCCGGTCCAGGTCCTGCAGCTGCCCCAATGCTGTGTAGAGTCCCTTAGTGCTCAATATTCTCCCCACTCTGTTTAACATCTACATGAAACTGTTGGAAAAGATCATTTGGCAGACTGAGGTCATGTATCATCAATACATAGATGATATACAGTTGTATATCTCAACCCATGGTCTGTCCTGGTGCCTGGAGGCTTTTGGAGTCTGGATGGGGAGGAAGAGGCTCGGATTCAGACCTAGCAAGACTGAGTGTCTGGATTTAATAATCTGTTTCCAGGGATTTTCCAAAATAAATTACCGATGGGATTCAGGCAGAATTTGTATATAATTTTGATGTTCTCCTGGACTTCCGACTTTTGCTTAATAAGCAAATGGCAGCTGTGGCTCAGTTGTATTTGATGTCCCAATTATGCCTTCTGAATTGGGAGGCCCACTCATGTATTAGTCAACTTTTGTTTGGACTATTATAGTGTATTTTTGAAGATCATCTGGGAGCTACAGCTGGTCTAAAATAAAGCAGCACAATGAGGAATGGGAATGTTGTATTTTGTTACATAACATCTCTACTTTGCAAGCTGCACTGGTTACCAGTTGGCTTCCAGATGCAATTCAAGGTGCTGGTTGACATTTATAAAGTTCTCCATAGCTTGGGCCTTGCCTACCTATGAGAATACCTTTCTCTTTGTTTCTGCCCATCTGATAAGATCTGGCAGGGTCAGCATGCTCCAGGTCCCATGGGCAAAGCAGTGCCATTTTATGGATCCACAGAGACATGGTTGCTCCTGCCTCCTCCTGAAGTCTGTATGGCTCTGACTCGGTTGCCTTTTAGACCCTTGAAGACCTGGCTTTTTCACCTAGTCTTGAGGCAGGACTTTGTGACTCAACTTGTGATAGTTGTTTGTGTGCTGTATAATTTTTATCGGTTTCCCCCCCCCCTTGAGTTGTTTATTACCTCCTTCCTATTGGATTGTTTTTGTTTGGATTTGTTTGTTAAATGGATTTTAATACATTTCTGTTACATTGTTGTATGCTGCCTAGAGTTATTTCAGTAATTGAGGCAGCTAATAAATTGATTAAATAAAGTTTGGTGAACTCTTCTTCTCCCTGAGTCCAAATCAATTAAAATGAAGTGCACAACTGTGGGTTGTTTTATTGCTTACATTACTTCTTCTGTCCATTAGGGTTGTGCAAAACATTTGAAAGAGGTGCTTTATTCTGCTTGTGGTCCCACTAAAAATTTTGTATGTGTAACAGGCACGTTCAGAGAGTTGCGGACTTCTGAAGCAGCTTCATGAGCTTTCCAAAAGATGCAGCTGTTTTAATATTTTGTGCAGGTGTGCTTTGCTTATGGTAACGTGTTTTTTCAAGGAATCTCTTTTGGATGCTTTCCACAAACATACTGTACATTTATTCCTATTCTTTGCTTCCTATTATGTGACAGTTTCATAGAAGGGGATTGTCCTCTTATCCCATTAATTCAGGAAGAATTATTGAGGGACAGTCAATATTTTTGTATGGCTTACATTATATCATTTGACAACTTGGTTTATTTAACCATGATTTATTGAATAATCCACAAACACTAGATTCACATAACACAATATATTATATATCATCATTTACACACCGCATACTTAGCCCTAACAAATCAATTGTTATAATGTGTGAATGCAGTCTCTTGTTACCAGATCACCCATTCTACATGTTTCTTCTTGCTCAAAGATTTTTTTTAAAAAAATTGTAAATAGGACTTTCAGCAGAATTTCTATATACTTGAAAAATTACCTTTTATAACCCTTTTTACTAACTTATTTAGAATTAGCATTTAGTGCACTGACTCTAGCTTCCCATATCTATCCTGTTGGATATTTTCCAGATCCTAGGAATACAGGCTGATTTTGGGGTGATACATTTGTTTTGTTAGGAGATCAGCAAATTTTTAAAAACATTTTAATATCAGCCAAATTTATTATTTGTTAATTTCTAATTTGTTACTAAGGCCCAAC